CCCTTCTGGGTGTGTAGGTTCTGGATGGGCTGAGGGTGTTGCATGCCCCCCGCCCCCCCTTCTGGGTGTGTAGGTTCTGGACGGGCCGAGGGTGTCGCGTGCCCCCCGGCCCCCTTCTGGGTGTGTAGGTTCTGGACGGGCCGAGGGTGTCGCGTGCTCCCCAGCCGCACTCTTCCTCGTGCTCCCTGTGCCTTCATTGTCTGAATACGGTGCTGGTGAATCTCCCCTTCCTGGGACAGAAGTTGTGTGCTGCGAGTTGGGTTTTCAGAGGCCGTAAATCTCTCAGGAGACTGCCCATCCTTCTCCCATGAGGCAGCTGGTGGATTTGAACCAAGGGCCTTTGGGATGGCTGTGCAGCTTTTACTGGTGTCTCATGCGGTAGCATTAGAACTGACCCTCCCCCTTGCCCTGACCTTAACCCTAACCCTCCCCCTAACCTGACCTAGACCACAGTCGTTTGACTCTAGTAATGTGACTCTCTAGTCATTGTGAAGAAATGGTCTTTTAAAGATTTTTAGGAACTTACTTTTCTATTTCATTTTCACAGTTCATTTATTATCACCTGTTTGTTTAGTACAGGTTATTACGCTTGTCCATGGTGGTGTTGTGTACAGTGGCGTCAGAACCGACCCATAGCTGACCCTCCAGAGGCAGTTAATCACATGGGAGGAGACTGCCTGTCCTTCTCCCATGGAGCAGCTGGTGGCCTCGAACCATGTGCTTTAGGGATTGCAGTGCAGCTTCTTGCCACTTGGCCCCCAGAGCTCCCTGCTGGAGAAGGGTTTTTAAGTACACTCTAAGTCCTCTTACTTTTCTGGAATCTTCCGTTCATGCCGCTCACGCGCCTTGTTCAGATCATCACGCTGTCGAGTCCCTGGGCATTTTGCTCTGTGTGGCACGTCATCCTGGCTCATACAGTAATGAGTTTGCATCTGCAGTAAGAGGCTGTGCTGCAGTCCCAGAGGCACGTGGTTCAAATCCACCAGCTGCTTGGTGGCATAACGACAGGCAGTCTCCTCCCGTGAGATACCTGTCCCTGAAAACCTGCGGCAGGGTCGGTTCCGACTCGACAACACACAACAGCGTCACGGCGGCCGGACTGCTGCATCCGTCCTGCGTCCTGCGTCCTGCTCTGACCTGTGGCTGATACGTGCTGCCGCAGTCGGCCCCTCCTGAGGGCGGGAGCGTGGCGGACGGGCGCTGACGGGGTCTTGAGAAGTGGCAGGCTTGTCCCCTCCCTTCTTGCTCATGACTGTCCTGTCTTCCTGGCCAGGAGCGGCGCTGCCCCAGCACCTACCCCAGAACTGCCCCCTCCACGCCATCCTCACCTGGTGCCTGGAAATACGAGCAACCCCAAAAAAGGTACCTCCCACTTCAGGGCTCCTTCTACGGAGAACAGGCCGCTTGGGCAGCACGCCACCCACAGGCATGAATCCTTGGGTCTGATTGTTCCTTCCTTAGGGAAATAGGTCAGAGGCCTTGTTGTTGTTGTATGTGTCGTCAGGTCGCTTGCGAGCCTGTGTACAACAGCCCTAAGCCCTGCTCTATCCTGAGCCAATCTCATTGTCTCCGACACGCCTGTCACCATTACCCCAGTCACTGAATCAATCCATCTCATCAAGGGTCTTCCCCTCCTGCACTGTCCCTCCACCCTCCCAAGAATGATGTCCCTCTCCAAGGACTGGACCATCCTTGCAGCATGGCCAGAGTATGTCAGACGAAGCCTCAGAATCCTTGACTCCAAGGAGCAGCCTGCCTTCACCCTCTCCAGGATGAACTTGTGTGTTTTCCTAGCAGTCCATGGTATATGCAATACTCTTCTCCAGCACCGCAGCTCAAAGGCATGAACTCTCCTTCTATCATGGCTATTCACTGTCCAGCTCTCTGATGCATAGCAAGTGATTGCAACGACCATGGCCTCTATCAGGTGCACCTTAGTCTCCAGACTGACATCGTTGAGGCAAAAAAAAAAAAATATCACACAGTGCAAGTCTTAGTCTAACGGTCCCAACCAGATTAACAAGACACGGTTCCTGAGTTAGTGACAGCACAGATGCAAGAAGCCTCTGCTTTTCTCAGTCAGCCAGCTCTTTATCTCAGAGCAGTTATGTGTCCACTTTTCCTTCAGTCATCTGGCAAGCAAAGCCTTTAACTGTGGCCTGAATGCAGTGTTCCTGTGGTGACACCTTGCCACAGTCTCTTCACAGCAGTGTCCTAGTCTCCACCTTTTCACAGTGTAGAAAGGGCTTTGTCTCCTTCTCTGTTCCTTTCCCTCTACCTCTCCCTCTCTCCCCCCTCCTGTCTCTCTCTCTTCTCCCTCCTGTACCCCCCACCACCGTGTTAGTCCCACAGCTATTGATGATTTTCAAAACCATGTGTCCACATTTAAGGTAGCTGGAGACCATGCCCATAACGGGGGCTAACCCTTGGAAAGCCAATTTTCAAAGGTTCTAACACCCGAAGTACATAGGATTATTTTAAATGCAGGCTGTTTTAGAATATATTTTTGGCTGTGTACCATCAGTTCAGTTTGTGGAGAGTTGCCCTGCTTCAGGCCGTGGGCCTTCCGATCCCTGGCTGTGCATCTGAGAGCTGGACAGCGAGTGAGGGTGACAGAAGAATTGAGGTCTTTGACCTGTGGTGTTGGAGAAGATTCCAGAATATTCCACGGGAAAACAGCTATGTCTTGGAGCCGGTGTAGCCGGGGTGCTTCCTGAGAGAATGAGGACGCTTTGTCTCACATACTTGGGGCTGTTGGTAGGAGAGGCCATTCCTTAGGGAAGTCATGCTTGGGAAGGTGGAGGGTTGGCAAATGAGAGGAAGACCCTCTTTCAGGTGGGTTTGTTGTTGTTATGTGCTGTCGAGTCCCTTGAGACTCATAGCGACCGTATGTACAACAGCCCTAAACTCTGCTCTGCCGTGTGCCAGTATCTTGATCGTAAACGTCGTGTGCTGTGGGCACAGGCCGCCTTGTACGTACTACCCACCTAACAGGTTTGTTGTTTGAGGGGAGTATGCATTCCCGCACTGACTGCCCCTCTGTCCGCAGGCCTTCCTGCGCGCCCTGGCTGAGTGGACGAGCGACGCGGCCGAGCGGCGGAGGCTGCTGGAGCTGAGCAGCAAGCAGGGGGCCGCCGACTACGGCCGCTTCGTGCGGGACGCCCGCCTGGGCCTGCTGGACCTCCTGCTGGCCTTCCCCACCTGCCGGCCTCCACTGCGACTGCTGCTCGGTGAGGGGACGCCTGAGTCTGACCTGGGCAGACGGGTCAAGGGCCGGGGCTGGAGGCTACGGAGATGCCCTGGTGTCAGACCCATGCAAATGGGTGAGGGGCCGGGGCTGAAGGCTACGGAGATGCTCAGTGTCAGACCTGGACAGGCGGGGGTGAGGGGCCGGGGCTGGAGGCTACGGAGATGCCCTGGTCAGACCTGCGTGGGTGGGGGAGATGTGCCCTGGCCATGTGGACGTCAACACAATGTTCTTGTTGCCTGCCACCCGTCCTGTCTACCACTACACAGTGCCTAGTATGCGGAGGGGCTGTGTCCCCGTCCACCTCCCCGCTGTCACTGCCACGCTGTCCTGATGTAAGCACGGTGCGTGTCCCCCACCTCCAGTCCATCTACCACTACACAGTACACACTGCTGGAGGGGCCCTGTCCTCGTCCACCTCCCCCCAGTGTCTCACCCTGTCAGTGTCACGCCGTCTGGACGTCAGCACAACGTTCTTGTCGCCGACCTCCCATCCTATCTCCCGCTGCACTGTGCCCAGTGCCTGGAGGAGCCCTGTCCCCGACCAACGCTTCTGGCTAACCCTGTCACCGCCATGCTGTCCAGCAGCCAGCACCGAGCTCTTGTCACCCAGGACTCAGTGTCCACCCCGATGATGCCCGCTGGGCTCCTGTGTGCTGACTTTGTCCCTCGGCCGGCTGCCCACATCTGGACCGACTGCCCACACCTGGACCGGCTGTGGCATCTGGACCGGCTCGGTCATCTGGACTTCTTTCTGAGGGTCCCTGTCACCTCCACTGTCTGTGGAAACGCTCCAGACTTCTCTAGAACAGTCACGCCAAGGCCTCAACACTTACGGAAATGAAGTCACTGTCCTGTTTCTTTAAGGGAGATTATCTAACGCTGAGCATTATGGGAATCTCCGCTGCTCTGGGGCAGGATTTCAGCCAATCAAAGTCTGTTCAGAAATTGTTAGAAATATGATACTAAACACAAAAATGACGTTTGTGAGAGGACGCTGCACGTTCAAGTGTTCATTCTCTAGCCTTTTCACCGACCCCCGTCCTGTGGAAGAACACGCGTTTAAGAATGTCTCCTCCAGCCCCACAAAGGTGTCTGACTGTGTGGATCGTGACCAGCGGGGCTGACATTGCTAGTCCCAGAGCGCCTGTACTCAGGAGGAGCCTACACCTGGACCAGGAGGCTGTTGTGCGAGCAGAGCAAGGGAAACACCGCCTGATTTAAGATCAGGAAGGGTGTGCGTCAGGCCACTGTGTCCTTTCTCCATACAGATTCAGTCCGTACACTGAGATTCTGCAAGGAGCTGGCCTCTGAGGAGGAGTGTGACAGCAGGATCAGGACGACTCATCAGTAACTTGCTTTATGCAGATGACACAACCTTCCATGCTCATGATAAGGAGGCCTTGAAGCACTTGCCACGGAAGATCAGAGAATACAGCCTTCGAGCCGGACTGCTTCTCCACGTCACGAAAACAAAGATTCTCACCACTGGACCAGTGGACAACATCATGAGAGATGGAGAGAACATTGAAACAGTCAACAGCTTCATCTTCTTGCATCCACAGTCAACAACCTTGGTGCCAGCAGTCTGATCAGGAGATGGGATGTACTGGGAAAATCTATCATTGAGGAGCAGTGATGTCAGTGTGAGGACTAAGGTGCACCTGCTTCAGGCCATGGTCATGTCAGTCACTTGCTGTGCGTCTGAGAGCTGGAAAGTGAATAAGGATGGCAGGAGAGGTATTGACACCTTTGAGCTGTGGTGTTGGAGAAGAGTGCTGAACATCCCATGGACAGCCAAGAGAACAAAAAGATATGTCTTGAGGAGGGTGCAGCCAGAGTGCTCCTTGGAGGCAGATGATGAGGCTTCGCCTCACATACTTTAGGCATGTAGCTAGGAGAGGCTGCTCCTTTGAGAGGGACATCATGCTTGGAAAGGTGGAGGGTCCACAAAAGAGAGGACCCTCAACCAGGTGGATTGACGCACCAGGTGGATTGACCCAGTGACGGCTGCGGTGGGCTCTAGTGTGTCGGGAAGTGTGAGGCTGGCGCAGGGCAGGACGGGCTTCTGGTCTGTCGTTCAGAGGATTTGTAAGTGTTGTACTCAACTCAACAGCACCCAACTACCCCGCCTCCTGTTGCGGGAAGCTTGGTGGCGCGGTGGGGAGGCGCCAGGCTTTGGAGTGAACTCTCCAGCCCTGGGCCCGTCATCAGGGCTCTCAGGTGGGTCGACACCTCTGACTTGAGCGCAGTACTGTGTCTGGCCTCTGACTGCCGGGGTCCGGAGGAAGCCCCCAGGAATGGTGTGGACACTCGGGGGCGGGAGCTGTGCTTTTCGTGTTGTGTTAGGTCCATGTGCTGCAGTGTGGGGTTGAAAATGTGATGTAAACTCCAGCCATCGGTGAATGTTGTAAACAGCAGGACTCGAGTCAGGTTCCCACCCAGCTCACTGCCTTCAGTTCAGAACCGACGCCGAGCTCACCCTTCTGCGGGCTTTCCAAGGTGGGAATCCCGTGACGGGAGATTGCCGTCTTTCTCCACAGAGCGGCTGGTGCATTCGAACCGCCGCAGCGCTTGGCCTGTGGTGGGCAGGTCGGCTCTCTACGCACTGCACCGCAGAAGCGTTGTCAGCCCCGACGTGTAACACCGCTTCCGGAGCAGGCATTAATTCTGCTTTTCCTCTTCCCCAGAACATCTCCCCCGGCTCCAGCCCAGACCGTACTCGTGCGCCAGGTACTGACAGATGGGGTGTTGGGCAGGGCATCTCCCCAGAGCTCAGACACCCTTCCTGAGCTGCCTCTCACCCTCGGGGAGCACTGGGAGATTCGGGAAGACAGTCCTAAGTGATGGGCTGGCCAGAGGGAGAGCCGTAGACATCAGAATGATACTGTCCAGTAGATTACCAGGTCATCTGTAGTCCTGACCCGTCCTCTCCTGAGTCTGTCCCCATGGACACTGCCC